AAGGGAGAAAAGGAAAAGAAAAAGCAAAGAAAAAAAAGAAAAAGAGACAGAAAGAGAGAGAAAAAAAAAGAGAGAGAGAAAAAAGAAAAAGAGAAAGAAAAAGAACAAGAGAAAGAGAAGGAAAAGAAAAAAAGGAAGGTCCTCAATGGAAATAGGAAGTAGAAAATTATCTTGCACTTTTTTAGTTTGTATCACTTAAGATTTTCCTGAAAATTAAGCAAATTGTGCTTTTTTTTCAGTAGGGCAAAGAAACCAGGTCACGCGAGAAATGGAGAGCTAACCATGATGTGACTGGGTGTCCTCAGAAAGTCCCTGCACTCAGGCTGGTGTGCGCTCGTGTGAGAGGCGGTGTCCCTGGGCTGTGGGCTTAATTTTCCGTAAAGAATGACAGGGAAATCATGCACTGAAGGGAGTAGAGGTCAGAAGACAAACTCCACTCCCGATCACTGAAACGACCCTCCTTCGAGCACACGAAGGGCACCTACACCTGAGCTCGGGTGCGCGCCTGGGAATGGGAAAGCTGGAGGGAAAGAAAGTCCCATCTTCGCTCCCAATCACCGAAAGAAACCCCGCCCACCAGATTCCCTCCCCTTCCTCAGAATTCTAGAACTTGGAAAAGAGAGCGGTAGAGCTCCTCTTTTGCAGCAACATACAAGAGAACATTCCAGAAAGAACAAGGTATCTTCCAGGGGCTGACTCTGGACTGCTCGAGTCTGTGAAAATCTATTGGTCATTGTTATCAACTAGCCCCTCAATGGGAATCAGATGGCATGCTCAAAACATCATAATTCAAGGAGGGAGTATTTGAGTGGTTTTTTTTTTTTTTTAATGTTTATTTATTTTGAGAGAGAGAGTGTCAGGTCATCGGTGAGCTGGGAAAGGGAGTTTGCGGGGGAAAGGGCATGTGACAGTGGAGGGAAATGGTGGACGTCTATCTCGTTAGTGTCGCCTCCTGACCCTTGCAATCCGGTGGGGATTCAAGGACCTTGTCAAGGGTCTGGTACAGTCAGATGAAGCGTATGGCAGGGACGGATGGTGGGGTGCACTGAAGGGCGCAAGACGCGAGAAAGCAGGACAACGGACGGAGTATCTCAAGGACGTACGTACACAGTTCGCAAGCACAAAGGGCCGCCGAACACGAAGTTATGTTCGACTTCAACTCCAACGCAAGAAGCACCAATCCAGGCGGGAAGATGTCGGGAAAGACTCTCAGACTCGGTGGGTAGGAATGCAAATCGGTTTCACTGAGGAGGGCAACGTGGCAGTGCCCACAACGTATTTACGGACCGTGTCTGGTGACCCAGCACTCGTGTGCTGGGGGCGCAAAGGCAGACGTGTCGGCCTGTCTCCTTCTGTGATGGCGGAACCTGGCCTGGGCGCCCTCCAGTGGGCTCAGATCAGGTGACGATCCCGGCGTCAGACAGGACAGTGCAGTCAGGAACCAGAGCACATCCAAAGGATGGCGGTAAATGAAAACGTTTGCAGAAAAAAAGAAAGGGGGGGGGGCGCCTGGGTGGCTCAGTCGGTTGAGCGTCCGACTTCAGCTCAGGTCATGATCTCACGGTTCGTGAGTTCAAGGCCCGCGTCAGGCTCTGTGCTGATGGCTCAGAGCCCGGAGCCTGCCCACTCATATTCTGTCTCGCTCTCTCTCGCTCTCAAAAATAAATATTAAAAAAAAGTTAAAAAAAAATAAATAAAACAAAAAAAAAAAGAAAGAAAAAGAAGGAAAAACCAGTTCACTATTTGTAAAACCGTCTCAGGAGTAGCCTCCGTTGCCTGAGGGAGTCGTGTGTGGCTGTGGAGAGACCACCCACGCTTATCTCTGGGGAGCGAGATAAGGAGAGGTAGGAAATCTCTGAGAGAAATCTTCTCATGGAGCTCAACATTCACTCTAATGGCTTATGTTTTTCTTTTTCTTTTTTTAATGTTTATTTTTGAGACAGAGACAGAGCATGAACGGGGGAGGGTCAGAGAGAGGGAGACACAGAATCTGAAATAGGCTCCAGACTCCGAGCTGTCATCACAGAGCCCGACGCGGGGCTCGAACTCACGGACTGTGAGAGATCGTGACCCGAGCCGAAGTCGGATGCTTCACTGACTGAGCCACCCAGGCGCCCCTATGTTTTTCTTTTTCTTAGCCTGTGTTACATTCACAGTAAGAGGGCTGAGACAGAATTTGGCTGAAAGATTTGAAGGGCTAAACTTCTTTGGCTAAAGAAGTTCAGGGCCAAGTGCATGTGAGACCGAGGAGACGTGAATGGAGAGGAACCACCCGTGTGCCTGCTGTTACCCTACACCTGCTGGGCCAGCCCTCGGGCGTGGGTTTAAGGTCTGACTACGTCGCGTGCTGACTGGGTGGCCTGGATTTGCCACACATCGGTGACCAAATTTGCAGGTGAGAGGCCAGTATCGCCAACACTGGATGACACTGCTCACCGCTTCCCCCAGAGTAGCCGGAGGGACGGAAACCAGGTGCAGAGTGCTCTCTGCGGGGTCCTACCAAGACGCAGTCCCACATCTGCCTTCTTCTGGGACTTCCTCCCTGCCGAGTCTCGTCCGCCTCACGGAACCCCCTTCTGGGCGCTCTCTCAGGGACTTCTTCACTGACGGCCGCCTCGTTAAACAGACCACGCCGACTCCGTGGCCTGCTGCTCCAGGTCCAGCCCGGACTGCCTTGTGAGCTTCTGACTTGTAAACAGCCTCTCTGCTAACTGACAAAGGGAGAAAGAGACGCAGCCGCGTGCGGGAAGGTCAGGGAGCAGAAGGGAACCCGGGGAGCTCCCTGGAGCCTTGGTAAACGTGGAGTCTGGCGAAAGGCTCGGAGTCCGGCTCTGGGGCCGCTGAGTGACAGGAGCGGAGTCTGCCCCTAGATTCTCCACTTGCGGCCCAAGGACTAACGTGAACAACGAATAGGTATCACGGGAGATCCAGCAGGCAGTTCGCGTCATTGATCCGATCATGTATTCGTTAGAAATGTATTTTAGTGCCCATCACATTCAGGCCCTGGATTCCCTGAATAAACTCCTGACAGCTGTTTGATTCAGAGAGTCTGACGAACTGAAACATTATCGGCAGATTTTTTAAAACCAAACATGCTCTGTTAAGCTTTTAAAAAACTAAGAACCCTTAAGATTTTGGGTCTCGAAGCGTCTACCTTCGGCTTTAGTGGTTACATTTTGGTAACAGTGGCAATCGTTCGGGGCTCCCTTATTTAACAGTTACTTGGGTCATTTCAGACACCTGTACGGAAAACTGAAGCCGAAGGGAAAAGAGGACTCTCCGTTTGAGAAATGAGGAGAGAATGCCAGGGAGGTTCTTCTCAGCCCCACGAGGCTACGCTCTCACACCGCGCGTTAGCGAGTAACGGAAGGGTAAAGGGAAATGGAGTTGACAGGAAGTGACATCTTACGAAATAGATATACAAAATTTAATCCCTTTGGTTTAAAATGCATCTTCAGTGATACAGTGAAAAACAACAAACAAGACAAAAATTAATTTCATAACACAAAATATAAAATAGTCATGACCCGTGTCCCATGGTATCTTATCTTAGAAAACCAGCAATTTAATTTAGTTCACATACTTCATTAGGACAGTTTAACGTAAAAATGCAACTACAAGTCCTACTTACACAAATGACCTACTCTAGCTCCCTGAACCTGGATACCCGTGATTGTACTTGTTATAAAATTACACTCTTTAGTACATTTATATATTTCAACACGTGTACAAATTGTTCCCCTGCCAGAGTAATACAGTCTCATGCACTCATGAGTGCTTTCCAGAATGGTCTGCAGCACACAAGGTGCTCGAAGCCTGAAGGCTCTGGAACACGACGAACTAGAAATCACTTCGCGTAACAGGAAGATGAGGAAGGACTCCATTTGGGGTCGTATCACCGAGACCACGATAATCGCGGCATGTGTTAGGATTGCTGCGTGTTCACTCTCGCGGGGACACACGACTGAGAACGGCATACGCAACAGACGGGAAATGCGCTGGCGTTCTTCCTTTACTTCGTTCGTTAGGGCAGAAATCCGAATAACCAACCGCATTCTCAAGAGCAAACAGAATCTCTGCCGTTCGGGCAGGTTTTGCCGTGCTCTGGGATGACTGCTGTTGGCGAGGACGCAGACGAGGCGTTTTGGTGAGTTCCACCAAGCACAGGACTCGGTCTGCTTGGTAGACGTTACCAAAAATAACTTAACCTTTCGTTTAGGGAAAGTCTGCAAGGTAGACCTTGTTGCATCTCTATGCTGTATGTACAGACACCGTATTTATATATTATCTATTTGTATAAGACACGTATATACACATTTACAGACACAGGCCTTCAAAAACGTATTGCACTTATATACAATGCAGCGTTAGCTTAACTGATTCACACTGTCACCCATTTAGGTTCTTCATGAGAAAGGCAGGTGATATGTTCAAGAAAGTTGCACGGGGAGATTTCAGGAACATGCCCTACTTGAGTAAACATTTTCTGGAGGCGGAGAGGCTGAGGGAGAAAGGGCGCACCCCCCCCCCCCTTGGGGCGCCGCTCCCCCTACCCTGAGGCAGTCGGTCACGCTGAGCTCGGACAAGGGCACAGCACCCTGAAAGCCAAGCCCGCTGCCTTTTCTGACTTGCACTGGTGAGCAGGCCCACTAACATTGAAGAGACAAATATTCCAGTATTTTTATATAAATAATGTAGCAGATATTCTAAAGGTTCCCAGAGAGTCTATTAAATCTTGGAATAAAGGTTTCACTTTTAATCCTAAGTATCTATATCAGAAAATTCAAACATGATGGCATATGGATTCCTCGGCTGCCTGAAAAACGCCAGTGCGGCGCGTTGAACGCTATCTACCAGCCAAACGCAACGCCGTCTCCAACTCGAAAGGGGTCCCTTCCACCGGCATCCGCCCACGCCTGCGATGCACCTGCTTCCGGTGGGTAAGACCTACGTGAGGCCTTCATGAACTCGCTGGGGGGGGGAGGGGGGGCGGTGTGCCCTTAGATCTCAGTGAGGGTGAGTTTGTACGACCCCCCCACTTCCTCGATCTGCAGCTGGAAGGTGTCTTCATTGGAGTAATGCTTCACGATGTTGTCGTCCATGTTCACCAGAATCCTGGAAGACGAGCGAGACCCTCGTGTTCATCCCTGCCCGACTGCGAGCCAGACCCGGTTTCCCAGTCGGCGCTGCCGCTCACTGGCTGCGGCACGGGAGGTGCGTCACTTACAAAACCTCCCTAAGCCTCGGTCCCCTCATCTGTGGAACGGGGGTAACCACGGTGCCTACCTTGAGGGGCTCAAGTAAAGCGCTTGTAACAGTGCGGGAACCGAGGGAAAACAAACCGCGCCGGCCTCTTCCCTGTTACCACTTCAGCACGTGGTCACGACTCGATACGCAGGAGCCCTCACAACACACGAACCACGTCTGCGGGAGCCGCACCGCGCCGGGCCGGCTTCCCAAGGCGCATGGGTAAAATTAACCTACGGGATCTGGAGCCACGGCTCCCTGACGAGTCATCTTCCCTGGCAACAGATCCTCAAAGTTTAACCGAACTGCTAGTAAGTCCAACGCTCCCTGGTAGGCCCATCGAGAAAGTTCCAATTAGGATCTGCCTTAGAATTAAGCCACACTCGGCTTACCCGTGTCAAACAGCACAGACGCTCAAGTGAAATGGGACTAAAAATGTTCATTTCTGGATGAGGCAGCAACGTCCAGTGACTGAAAACATGATCCAGGACGGAATACAGAAGGAGCAGAGACTGAGCCGGGACCAGGGCCTTGGCACTGACCTCTGCCCGACTGTGGCCGCGGCTCAGGCTCTCTGCACCTCAGCTGCCTTGCGTGTGAACTCCTGACTTACTGAACATCACACCAGCTCAGAGGGCAGTGTGGGAACTTAGCGTGCGAAGTGCCCGATCGGGTGCCTGCCTCACGATGAGGGCTCAGTAAACGGGGTAGCGACCGTGGTTACCCTTCCTAAATCTCGACCTGGGCTCTGGGATCTGGAGCCCTTTCACTGCTGCCAAGCAAGGCAAGAGCACATAAAAATTTTGCTTGGAAAAAAAGATCCACAAAGTTGTCTCAGAAAGGTAGATCAATTTCGTGTGGATAACTTAAGAAAAAATACATCCTCGCATTCACGTCTGTACAACTCTTTCTAGACTGGGCACAAACGCACGTGAATAGCGTTCATGTGACGTGAGACTGATATTATTTAGAGGGAGGAGAAATGCCAGTTAATGCTTACCCTTTTTTACATTTCTTGAATATTTTCCCAATCTTGTCATGGGGCACATCATACTTGTCTGAGATCTAAAAGAACCAAGAAAGATAATTACAAAATGCTAATCTCATGGCTTTAAAACACAAATTATAAATACTGTGCCCAGTCACTCAGCTTTCTGTCTTTCAAAAATGCACGTGCAAAGACATACACGAAACCACGCATATCCCCAGGGGGTGGGGGCGTCACCTGCCTTTGGAGGGGCTGCAATCAGGTGCCTGTCACTTCCCCCCAGTTTGCTGAAGTCCCTAAGTGTCCCGTATGGTCATCCTTTTAGAAAATGAACACTTTATAGAGAGCTTTAGGTTTATAAACAATTGAGCAGAAAGCACACAGCTGCACACCCACCAGACCCTGGGTGCCACCATCTCACGTCCCTGCGGGGCTTTCGTCGTCCGTGAGGAGCCAACATCGCTCCAGCATCATAACTAGCATCCACAGTTCCCATTAGGTTCACACTCTACGGCTTTTGAGAAGCGTGTAAGGGCACGTAGCCACACCGTCACGAGTATTCTGATCAAGTGTAGAAATCAACACAAGTGACTGTCCTCATCAGCACAGACCCTCCCTTCGAGTACCACGGGACGCGGTGACGACTGACGAGCGTCCGGCACAAAGCAGGAGTTCGCTTCCAGAAGGAAACAAACATTTCAATGTCCCACAGCCCACAGGAAACGTCCAAGTCCCTGATCACAAGCCAGGAAGGGCGCCTCGGCCAGATCTACCCGAGGCCTCTCCAGGGAGAACACAGACTTTCACAAAACCATCAGGGCTCCGGCCACTGTGGCTGCAGCCGCTGGGGTGGGGCCCTCCGCCCCTCCCGGGCCCCAGCTCCCCCACCCCCCTTGCTACCATCGGCGAGGGTCCACACGGAGCAGGGAAATCAGTACAGGGTCAAGTCTGCAGGCTTCCTACGAGCGCCCAGAGGCTATCTTGAGAGAGAGAGGATGAATTAATCCAAGGATGAGCTGACTCCGTCTGGGCCAAATGCTTTATTCAGAATTGTGCAGACCACCCCTAAACTGGGGCCACAGCTGACCTTCCATACGAAGAGCAGAACTCAAGGCGGCACGAAGAAAGGCCAGAAGGCCAGCCTTGGGACCGCTGTCGGGCTCACAAAACACCCCTTTCAGCCCACATCCAAGCTCTCGTACAAACAGATCCACTTCCTTTTGTTTTAAAAGAATGATCAATGTTTATCTTTCAATTTTTTTAATGATTTTTTTAAAGTTTATTTATTTTGAGAGAGCGAGAGAGCGAATCCACGAGCAAGGGAGGGGCGGAGAGAGAGGGAGGGAAAGAGGGAGAGAGAGAATCCCAAGCAGGCTCCGCGCTGCAAGCGCAGAGCCTAATGCAGGCCTCGAACTCGCAAGCCGTGAGATGGTGACCTGAGCCGAAGTTGGACGCTTAACCGACTGAGCCACCCGGGCGCCCCAAACAAATCCACCTCTTTTCTGTATCACTGGCTAGTAATTCCTCGGGTGTTTGTGGAACATCCATTAGGAAACACTGACAAATTCTCTACGGGCTACAAGCAAGTTGTATCTGCACTGTAAAGTCTCAACCATTCTCGTTTCTTCTCTCTCCATAATTAGGAGTTTGCGTGGTTCTAAATGAGGAAGGGTTACCAGAAGACAAGGTAAGAAAGGGTAACCGAGGAGAAATCGCAGGAAGCTGAAAAACAACACAGAGCAGAGGCTAACGGTGGCACTGGCTGTGGTGGGGGAAGGCAATATGCTGGGAGATGCCTCTGAGCTCAGGGACCCCGAGAGACCGTGGTTCCCCCAGTCCTCGTCCCTGTACCCCACCACTTTCTTTTTCTTCACTGCATTTATCAGTGCCTGGAAAATTACTTCTTAGTTTCTTTGCCCATTTAAAAACATTTTCTTTTTTTATTTTTAGAGAGAGAGAGAGGGCACACGTGAGCCAGGGAGAGGGGCAGAGGGAGGGAGAGAGAATCTTCAGCAGGCTCCACACTAAGGGCTCAATCCCATGGCGCTCCTTCTTTGCCTATTTTATTGTCCCCACCTTCCTAACTAGCACCCAAACTCCATTTGGCAATGTGTCACTTAACTCTTGTAACTCGAGAAGCCAGAACACTATCTGGCATAAAGCAGATGCTTAACAAATATTGTTCATTGAACTGAATGCACCGCAGCTGTCCAGAGAACCAGAGGAAACAGGTTTCTAGCCCAGTTACGCACATGCTCTGAGCTCAAAGATGCCTATGACCTACAGGGGGCTGACAAATATCAGGATACAGTGTAGATTCTTTGAATTTTGTCCTGGAGCAAAGCCAAAATGGGCTCCTTCTCAGGCCATCTCTTGCTGAAGTCCCAGAAGGCCCGGCTGGGGTAACTTTATTCACTGCTGAGGTCTTGTGAGAAAGACTTACGGTCATCACTGGCTACATGTCTACATTTTCAAAAATAGGCTTTGGGTAAGGACTTGACATAAGCTCCGTCGTTCCCCAGGATCGGGCGTTTCGAAGGCCGACCAAGGAGCCACTGTTTTTATGTATGAAATTTTCCGAGATCTCTATTTGATTAAAAATAATTTTTGTCAGGGTCTAAATGGTTTGTTAAACGGCAATCTGCTTTTAACCAAGTATATAACAAACTACGACACGGATCAGGGTGCCCGGGTGGCTCAGTCGGTTAAGAGTCTGTCTTTGGCTCAGGTCACGATCTCACAGTTAGTGTGAGTCCCCCATCAGGCTCCATGCTGATGGTGTGGAGGCTGCTTCGAATTCTCTCTCTTCCCCGCCCTCTCTCTATTCCTTCTCCCACTTGCACTCTCTCAAAATAACTAAACCCAAAAAAAGAGTAGAATGTTTAAGAAAACAAACGAACAAGCAAAAACTACTGCACGGACCATCGCAAAAGCACTCAATTCAGGGGGCGCCTGGGTAGCTCGGTCGGTTGAGCATCCGATTTCAGCTCAGGTCACGACCTCACGGTGCGTGAGTTCGAGCCCTTGCATCAGGCTTGCCGCTGACAGTGCAGAGCCTGCTTGGGTCCTCTGTCCCCCTCTCTCTCTGCTCCGCCCCCAAATATACAAAACATTAAAAAAAAAACCCCAAAAACAAAAGCACTCAATTCAGTTCAGTAGACATCACTCAGAGGTTACCGTCTGCCAACTAGTCTGCTGGGTGAGACCCTGTAAGACCCAGCGGGGATGGCCCGGCAGATGACTCAGGGCCACGTGTGGCTGGATGAAACGTGTGCCACACAGCACAGGCTGCAGAGATTTCAGTATAACAGAGAATCTGGAAGGTCTGATAAAATTTGTTTCAGAGAAAACTTCTACTTAAGCGGGTTTTACTTTCGAAAGAGGGCTTCCAAGTTTCCACTACTTACGGCCTCCATCAAGCCTTTCAAAGACGGAGTCTTAAGCATCAGGGCATCAAAGACTTCCTCTGACTCCTTCCGCACATACAGCAGCACTAATTCCCAGCCAGGAGTACAGCGGGGTGGGGAGAGAAAGGACGCGGTTATTCATATGAGCAAAATAAGAGACTCTGGAGAGCGGTTGAAATAAAAAGAGACATCTGCATCAGGAACAGTAAACATGAACCAAAGTCAACTCCATCTTGAGGAACGTGGCTCTCAGCTTCTTGGAACTCTGCTAGAAGCCCAAGCTTCAAGCCAAGAGCTGGCCTGACGGAAGAATGCTCGAGAAAGTCAAGCCAGACAGGGTTGGTTTGAGCAATTCATGCTTTTGACAGAGTCAGAATTCACTTCTAACTGAAAGCTCCCACAAGAAATGTGAACCAACGCACCTCTCTTTGGTTCTTCCACCCGAGTCAGCTTAGCAGGAGTTGGAATGGCAAAGTCATCCTCTGATCCGTACGGACCCCTTTTCAAGTTAGACCTGCAGGCAATCCAAACGAGGCAATCAGTGATGCCGACTGAAAACATCGCTTGCGGGAACAAAAGAGAGATTTAGGGTACGTTACCGAAGTTTAGATTTAACATGACCTTGGTTCTTTACCTGGTCCAGCTTCCTCAGTCTGTGGATGAAAACCTGAGGCCCAAGGGAAGACAGTGACTGAACCAGCTCACACAACTTAATGGCAGAGCTGGGACTACACTCAGGTCACCTGCCAGACACCCTCCATCGCTCTCACACTAGATCAAGCTGCCTTTGCAGGAACGCAGGGCTTCTTTTCAGGAAACATTTTATGGAGGAGGTAGAACCTGAGATACGTACATCAAGGTGCTAACAGGAGAGAACACGTCAACCAAGGGGGGAGGTGTAGCCACAGAGCCGGGCTGGCTAAGATACGATGCTCTGCAGGAAGACAAATCCAGAAGGCTGGACTCTACTATGGAATACCTTGATCATCTGGCTATAAGGAACTTCCGACTTAATGCTGCAGGCATTTAGGAAACCTTTCAAAGGTTCGTGAGACGAGAATGCTGTACTCAACGCGTGTGTGTGGTGGAGACTGGAGGGGACTCCAGGACCCGCAGCAGAACCTGGGAGAGGACCCTGGAGACCATCACAGCATAAAATCCCAAAGGGTCAGAATACAGTAGTGTCTGTGCAAAGAAAGAGGGGAAGAAGACACCGCTGAGGACTGAGTGGTTCCAAGGCTCAGTCACAGGGTGCAAGTTCTACGCTGTGAGGGAGGTCAGTGGGGGCGAGCGGGGAAACAGTCCCATAACTGGAAGTGAAGAAAGGGAGTGCTTGGCTTTGAGCAGAACGACACTTCAGGCACAGGGATTGGGCCTTAAAATACTCAGCGTGTCCGTCTCAGTTGCCGGCACATCCCAGACCTCCCCTGAGAGCACGTGCAGGCTCTGAGCACACGAGGAGTTAGAGGCAGTGGAGGACTGGCCTTCAGAGGAAAAGGCTCCATAGGCAACGTGGGTCTGAAGGGGGAGCCCGGAAGAGGGGACCGGCCCCTCAACACGGTAGAGCGCTGAGGAGGGGGTCTGGGGGCGCGGGCAGTCAGGGCCCGAGCGGACCAAGGAGGGCGCCCGTGTGCTGGGGGAGGGGGGTGACAGCAACGGCGCGAGAGTCAGGAGCACACCCAGGGCTGGGCTCCCTCTGGAGAAGGAGCAGGTTCTCAAGCTGGGAAGGGAAAACACAAGCACCTGGAAGACATCGTGCCTGAAGGTGAGGAAGGCGCTCCAGGAGCTGGGGGGAGGGTCACGTCAGGGGACCCAGGGGCAGCTTGAAGGGGTCCGCCGACCTACTGCGACAATGTGAGCAAGTAAATGACGTGCGACTTGTTGAATAAAGTTGGAAACCAGGAGCCCGTACCGATATAAAGAAAAAAATGAATAAATTCGAAGTCTGATGAGGAATGAGATCTTTAAAAGCCACAAAGCACCTCCCCACAAACCACTGATTACAAAATAGCTTCGCGGGGGAGAAGCCTGGCAGACACGGCCTTGATCCAGCGATCCGAGTGAACAGCACGAGCAGGGGGTGACACGGAAATTATGCTACCTGACAGGATGCACAGAGGATGCACCATTATGTCTGGGAAATTCCTGCTGAGGTGCAGAGTCATCTGAATCTAATCATGAGAAAACAACGAACAAACCCAAACCGAAGGACATTCTAAGCAATGGGTTTCTAATCTTCAGAAGTAGTGGGTCAGGAAAGTCAAGGAGAGACTGGACTGTCTGAGGCTGAAGGAGACAACTGAATACACGGGGTCGGAATCGGATCCTTTTTTGCTATAAAGGACATTATTGGAACAACCGGCAAAACTCAAATGAGGAACGAGGACTGGCTGGGACTAGTGTCTTGTTAATATCCCGACTCTGTTATGTGGGAGACTGTCCTCGTTTGCAAGAAATACACACGTATTTAGGAATGGTGGGTCACTGAGTTTGCAAAGGACTCAGGAAAAAATTAGTTCTTTGTATTATACTTGCAATTTTTCTGTAAGTTTGAGATTGTTCACAGATAAAAAGAACCTGTTAAACAAAACAGGGGCGCCTGGCTGGCTCAGTGGGTTAAGCATCCAACTTTGGCTCAGGTCGTGATCTCGAGGTTTGTGAGTTCGAGCCCCGCAGCGCAGAGCCCGCTTTGGATCCCCGTCCCCCACCCTTTGTCCCTCCCCTGCTCATGCTCTCTCTCCCGCTCTCAAAAATAAACAAACATTTAAACAAAATAAAACAAAACAGAAGCCTTACCCTTCACCCTCCAGTTCTTCTGAGGCCAGAGGAAGGACCTAAAACCAAAAAAATAGACAGCTTTTCAAGTATATGCTCAAAGTATTTCAGACCGTTAAGTGACTTATTCCTAAAATGAAAATAATTTTGAATCTGACCAACCTCGTACACCACCCTTTAGCCTTATTTTTCAATTACCAGATTCTTACAGGTATCTGGAACTCCTCTAAGCCAGCGGCTGGGAAACTATGGCCCACGAGCCGAGTCTGGCCCAGTGCCTGTTTATATAAATAAAGTACGTAGTGGCAAACAGCCACACTCAGTCACTGGCACGTTGTTTATGGCTGCTTCGGCACTACAACGGCAGAGCTGAACAGTCACATCAGACACTGTGTAACCCCAAAAGCCTGCAATATTTACTATTTGAGCCTTTACAGAGAAAGTTGGCTGACCCCCTGCTCACCAGAAGCTTCTCATTAGAAACTGGATACACCGGCAATGCCCCCCACCCCCACCCCAGAACTCTAAATAAAGTCACGCACGAGCCCAGAGAAATCTGGGCGCCAAGCGCACGGCAGGGTCTCTTCTGCATACTTTTTTGAGCTCTGCACAGAAAGCAGGCTCCGCTCTATGCAAGCTGTTATCTCTACGAAGCTTCTGCTCAAAGCAGGGTGTGGCTAGTTTCACATTAGTTGCCAAGATCCGGCGATCCATGTGCCAACTGCGATTCAGTAACCAAAACCACGGAAAGAGCCTTTGGGCGTTCTTTCTGCCCTTAGGGCCTCTACCCTAGGGACTCCTCTGGCTTTTCCCTCCTGCCCAGAACCACACGAGTTAAATCCACAAGATCACAGACTCAGACTTCAAATTATGTTACTGTTCCAGCATCTTTAAATGAACAAAGATACAAATACGCAGGTACAGAGTGAAGCGGACGCTGACGGGCTTGGTCCTGCATTTCTGTCAACAGTGCTTACACACACTTCCCAACTGAATGTTCCAGACAGCTGACCCGTAACACTGGTCAAACCTCGCTAAATTTTGGCCTCTGTGTACAACGAACGCCAAAGACCTTCTCTGTGTCGAGTCTTAGTTCCTCACAACCGCCCCGGGATCCGGGATCCTGGTTACTTACGTGAGTTCCCCGCTGAAGGTTGGCAAAGTGCACATCGGGAATGAAAAGGACAGGCTGAGTGTCCAGATCAACAAAGGGTTTGAAAACCGTGATATCCATTCGTTTGTGAGAGGGAAGCAGTGGCACTTTGACGTCGGAAACTGAAAAAGAAAAAAAAACGCGGACACCCTGGTCAACAGCTTATATACACAGACTAGATACAGGCCACAGAGCACTTTGCTCAGATTTAAGAAACTTAAACTGCAGCACTATATAAGGTACGGGTCACGTGGCCTAAACAAAGAAGAAAAGCACGGTTTATGTGAAGAAATATGTTGCTTGTATTTATACTACAATCAATTGAACGTCTTACCAAAATCAGAGAAAAGCCTATTTTTAAATATAGACAGACACATAAAGAAAATTTGAAGCAGCATGTTTAATTTCCGTCTGAAAGGCTAAAGCTTCAAACTGCATACACATAACTCAGAAGCAATTTCACCTTAGCTATCCTGATTAAACAGCTGACATTCTAACAGCAATGCACTCTGGTCTTTCAGAGCCCACCACACCTTTAGACCTCCAACTTGACCTCAGAACTTAACCTTAGAGAAGCTCAAAATAAGTATGACTGTCTAGGCTTTTTATTTATTAAATTGCAGACTCCGTTTTCCCCTGTCATCTGCTCTGCAGTGCTCGGTGATGAGCTCTCCTGGGCGTCTGTACGTGGATGCCGGTCGGGGGGCCTGACCAATGTGCTACGGGGCAAATGTCTGCTGAGCCAGACAGACTGTTCAGAGACCAGGTGCTAGCGGCCCACGTACTGCCGATGGAACACTACTGCCACAGAGCAGCATTTTCTTCCCCTTGTAGTTGAGAGATACAGGATTTTGTGAATATGAACACTGGTTACATGGAAGGAAGGAAGGAAGGAAGGAAGGAAGGGAGAAGGAAGGGAGGGAGGGAGGAGGAAGGGAGGGAGGGAGGAGGAAGGGAGGGAGGGAGGAGGAAGGGAAGGAGGAAGGAAGGAAGGGAGGGAGGAAGGAAGGAAGGAATGAAGGAAAGAAGGAAGGGAGGGAGGGAGAGAGGGAGGAAGGGAGGGAAAAGGAAGGGAGGGAGGGAGGGAGGGAGGGAGGAAGGAAGACAGAAAGAAAGAAAAAGACAGAAAGAAAGAAAGAAAGACTGAAAGCAAGCAAGCCTTTCCAGTGAAATGTCCAAACAGGAGCCCCGCAGATTCTAAAATGTTAGAATACTGTATATAGGAAAACGACACTCATTCAGGAGTAAGACGTCCTGAATTCTCAAGGGCATTAGTGTTATTCTTCAAAATCTAGACAAGTCCCAATTTTATCATCAGCTATTCAGATAGAATATGTGTTATTTTTCAGGACTGGAATCAGCAACCCGAACTAAAACTAACAGCCAAAATAGTCTGAACTCTGGAAAAACTCAAGAATCTTTTCCTGTAGTTCCGCAAGAAAATCCCTTAGTTCGGCCATTCGGCTGGTTTTGTAACTGGTAAAGGAAGCAATGCTACCACTTCCCAGTACTAAGTATCCATGATTATATGTTCTGCTTGAAAACACAGTGGCCATTGTGAATGCAAAAGGTCTGAAACACTTGGCGGAAACATTTCTACTTACAGGCATTCAACTGGGAGCTGGGGTCAGTACACTTGCCTTTTCTTTTGCTTTGCTTTCGTTCTTCATCCCTGATTTTCCTTTCAGCTCCCTATAGGTCAAGAGAAGACAAGGCACAATTCTTTATCTGATCCTCTTTAAAATACTGAACCCTAATCTGACTAATGGGGAAAAAAAAAATCTCTGGAGATGAACGCTATTACTTATTATATTCATGGAGCTTATAGCGGTTTCCTCTAAAAAGCCTGTTCTTAAAACTATGTGTAACTATGTGAAACCATGGGGAAACAACATTTACTTAAAAAACCAATAAACAAAGCAAAATCCCCTCCACAATGCATGTGGTCAGGTTAAATGAAAAGCTGAGAAAATCTGCTAATGTACCACACTGCCTTCAAGAACATCAGAGACTGTTCCCATTGTCTGGCAGACAAGCTGACCCCTGCTTCGAGTGTAGGTCCCTACGTGGGCAATGACATCACTGAAAGCTGGGATCCTGTCCAAGGACCTGGCGTCAACCGAATGACAGATCTGACCGCTGTAACTCACAAGCGCAAGGATTTAACTAGAAATCGGCATCATCACTTAAAAGAGAAAAAGTGGACTCCTCGTCCTATAGAGGGAGCATATGTACACGACGTGTATCGATTACACGAACGGCGGTGCCATGCAGTTGAACCCGCAAAAATAAAAAACCGTGTTACTAACAAACATGACCTGAAATTAAGCAAGTCAGTATAATAAAAAACATAACTACGAATTAATCATTTGACTTCATCTGGTAGCATTTATTTCTGGGTGGCATAGGTTTCTTTACCAAGTCACCCAGTTAAATATGAACAAGTAGTTTATTTTTCTGAAAATAAATTCCCTGACAGCAAAGAGAGCCAATAAAAATCATCCCACGGATCTTGGCACTATTATATAATAAAACCACGTTTAAAAAACCAAACACAAACCCCCGCCTGACTCTTCTAGAAGGTGTTAATATACTAACATGTTGGTAAACACACAACCTGCTTTTCAAAACATTGCCATGTGACGCTGATCCTTCGAGAAGCACCACCTTCTCGACATGGCACACAGGTAAGTAAGTCTGCTCTCCCCGCACCGTTGTACAGAGTTGGTCTGTGTCTCTCTCGGTCCCTTCCAACAGTTTAACAATAGCTCCATTCTGATGATAAATTACACTTCCCAAAAGGTGGTTTTAAAACAATGGGACGGCTCCTCCCATAGTTATCAGATACCTCCATAAAGAATACGGGACTTCTGGGGCGCCTGGGTGGCTCAGTCGGTTGAGTGTCCGACTTCAGCTTGGGTCACGATCTCACAGTCTGTGGGTTCGAGCCCCACGTCAGGCTCTGTGCTGACGGCTCAGAGCCCGGAGCCTGTTTCGGATTCTGTGTCTCCCTCTCTCTCTCTCTCAGCCTGCTCGTGCTCTGTCTCTATCTCTCAAAAATAAACAAACGTAAAGAAAAAACTAAAAAAAAAAAAAGAATACGGGACTTCCCCTTCTGCTCAAGGTGGGTGCCTCACGGATCATTTACCCTCCACCCTGAACAGAAAAAAGATGGCTGCACACCGCAAGGATTTTCAAGGCCTGGGCTACCAGGCAACAAAGAGCAGGGCTCCCTGAAACGGGAAAGCAGCAAGACGAGCCCTCCAGGTGCGGACTGCCTTCACAACTCCCGGGCTGCAGCACAGGGAGGGGCGTCCACAGGTGGGCCCTGTCTAGGTTCCCTGGGTCGAGACAGAGTTGAAAATCCAGACAGATCAAGGAAGCAGGACAAAGTAGCAAAGGGGAAAGAGTTACCCCAGGAAGGACCCCAGAGATCTGTGGAAGGTCCCCTCAAGTAGTCAGCAGAGTACTGAGATAAACGGGTGTAATTATGAAAGTTACCCAAGGGTGGGGGGAAAGCCCTCAGTAAAGACAAGAAAACAGTGCCCGAAACTCACTGAAAATAGTGCCTGTTCCCACCAGTCAGACTGGAGAAACTTAAAATTCACAGGGTAGTGGGTAGAACAGTCAGCAAATAATTAGCTGACAGTGAGCACTGTTTCTGACCCACCTCTCAAATCGTAACGGTGAGACCTGCAGGGGATCAAAATGTTTCCAAGTAACTTTACCTGCTCTCAGGACAAAGCTTGAGAAGATTCAGAGGATTACAAAACCATGCAGCACCTGACAAGATAAAACTCACAACGTCTAGTGTCCAGTGAGATGGCCAGGCACGTAAAGAAGCAGGGAAACATGACCGTCTGAGGAGGACAGCAAACCACCGAAAGCACCCAAAATGGACACAGAATTCGGGCAAGGACATTAACATGGTTACTATAACTGCATTCCATATGTCCAAAAAGTCAGTGAAAAAACAACATATTGAGATATGAAAGATCTAAAACAGATCCAAACTGATCTTCCAGAGACGATAACTACAACGTCTTGAGATGAAAAACACGCTGGATGGGATTAGGAGCAGGTCAGACAAGGCAAAGGCAAAGAGTGATGAACTTTACTTAGGACATTAGCACAGAAACTATCCAAAACGAATCAGAGACAGAAAGTCATTCTAGAAAATGAAAAGAGCACGAGTGAGCTGTGGGACTTTAAGCAGCCGTACACGTACATGTGCAAGTGGCATTCTCAAAGAAGGACACATGAACAAACATATCTGAAGAAACAATGGCTGGAAATTTTTTCAAATAGGATGAAGACTATAAACACACAGATCCAAGAAGCTCAACAAACTCGAAGTACAAGAAATGTAAAGAAACACATCAAATTGTTCAAAACCAGTAAGAAGAGAAAAATCTAAAAAGGGTCACAGAAAAATAGACACATTGAACAAAGATACCGATAAGAGCAGATTTCTCATTAGAAATGTAAGCCTGACAACAACAGAGTCATGTCTTTCAAGCACTGAAGGAAAAAGCAGGCAACGAGAATTTTATACCCAGCAAAAGGAGCTTTCAAGATCAGAGGTGAGGGGCGCCCGCATGGCTCAGTTGGTTAAGCACCTGACTTCAGTTCAGGTCACAGACTCACAATTTGTGAGCTCAAGCCCCACTTCAGGCTTTGCACTGACAGTGTTGAGCCTGCGTGGGATTCTCTCTCTCTGCCCCTCGCTCACTCATGCCCTCTGTCTCTCTCAAAAAATAAAAACCAGAGGTGAAACACTTCTCATACGTACGAAAGCTGGAAGGTTCATCACAGACTCTGCAAGAAATGTTAAAGGAAGTCCTATGGCATTACAGAAAACCATTTAAGTTCACGCTGTTTCACTCTCTCACACAACAACTGAAGAGACTGATCTTGGGCAATCACCTCCGGCCATGACCTAAAAAGTTGATGTATGACATCTGTTCCTGGTTACAGCTATGGTGGGTATCACTCTGATGAAGAAAACTATCTGTAGGAAATAAATGTCAATGATGTTTTTCTCTATACGGATAAACTACAGATACACACACACACACACACACACACACACATATACACAAGCTTGTAGGAAGAGGAGCTGCCAAATTTTCAAGGGTCAGAGATCCAATTCCTGTTCCTGTTTTGTCTGAAAAGCTGCTAAATCAATGCTTCTTCTGAAATAAGAGAAAATCCCATTCATCAAACCAGTTGAGCAATTCATAATAAAGTACTAAGAAAACCTTCTTCTTAGGAGAGAAAAACAACACAAGTACCTCTGCAGGATACGAAAAGAGGTCTTATTTCCAGTTTCTTACTGCAGATGTAGACCAGATTCATAGAATGTGAGAGCTTTAAGAACCAGCAGAGAAAAATGAATTCACAGGCACCAAATAATAAGTGAGTAAAATCTTAGAAAGGCGGGAATCAAGGAGGCAGGTGGGATATTCCACGGAGAAGAGGCAGCACGAGACAATGCAGAACAGCACAAGCGGGTGCCTGGGTGGCTCAGTCAGTTGAGGGTCTGACTCTAGCTCAGGTCATGATCTCACGGTTCATGAGTGTGAGCCCCACACTGGGCTCTCTGCTGTCCGCTCGGAGCCTGCTTTGGATCCTCTCTCCCCTCCTCTCTCTGCCCCTCCCTGTTTGTGCTCTCTCAAAAATAAATAAAACATGCAAAAGAAAAAACAGCAGAAGCAATTACGACCGTAAGGGGCAACAGCAGTTACAACAAGATACACAAGAATCAAGGTGTGAGGTCATAGAGGAGTTTCATGTGGTTGAAAGATTCAAGGACTTCAAAAATGAACACACAGCAACGCATAGTTTCTTCCCATGCAGGACTTTATAGCAACCCTGAGCTCTGAGGTAGAATCTGGGGATGAAAACCGTGTGTAAATCACCTGCCACGTCCCTTAGATACCTTGCAATTAAATGACACTTCCTACCACTGCTATGTGCCATAAGGGAGGCAAAGGGGAAAGGAGACCAACAGTTTTCATCCCCGTGGAGATCTCTGCTCCAGCAAAAGGGAAAAATTGGTCATTTTAGGGGCCTTACAAAGACAGCATATGCAGGAAGGCTGAAGGTATCCGGGCATTCAGACAGGCCACACAAAGCACTGCTAGGTACAGACGCCTACTTTCTAACTACAGCTTTGTGTGATCTCCTTTTACCCAAATGGTACGGAGCTTACGCACAAGTAATGGGAAAAAAAGAAAACAGTGACTGGCCTACACAGTGGCCATGCTATCCAAGACCTTGGATAACATGCTCCTACCCCACGTGATCTAAATGAACCGGTGAGTCGGCAAGCAGCAACTCCAGAAGATGAAATCATGTGTTGTCCCAAACCACACTCAATGTTGCAACTCTGAAGAAAAGTTGTACATCGGCACACATGTACACAGCAAACGGTTTCTAATCTTTGTACAACCACTGATTAACAAAATATCTTTGTAGGGGCGCCTGAGCAGCTGAGTCATTTAAGCATCCAACTCTTGATTTCGGCTCAGGTCACGATCTCGCAGTTTGTGAGATTGAGCCCCTTCACGCTTAGCTTAGAGCCTACTTAAGATTCTCTCTCTCTCCCTCTGCCCCTCTCCCCTGCTCACGCTCTCTCAAAAAAGAAAGAAAGAAAGAAAGAAAGAAAGAAAGAAAGAAAGAAAGAAAGAAAGAAAGGAAGGAAAACCTGCACATCAAAGGAAATAATCCACAAAACTAAAAATTTAGCAACCTATGGAATGGGAGAAGATATATGCAAATGACACCTCTGATAAAGGGCTAGTATCCAAAATCTATAAAGAACTTCTCAAACTCAACATCCCCCAAATAAATCATCCACTTAAGAAATGGGCAGAAGACATGAAGATATTTTTCCAAAGAAGACATACAAATGGCTGACACATGACAAAATGCTCGATGTCACACATCATTAGAGATATACAAATCAAACCCACAATGAGATACCACCTCACATCCGTCAGAATGCCTGAAGTTAACAATTCAGGAACCAACAGAAGTTGGCAAGGATGCGGAGGAAGGGGAACCCTCTTACACTGTTGGTGGGAACGCAAACTGGTGCAGCCACTCTGGAAAACGGTGTGGAGGTTCCTCAGAAAGTTAAAGACAGAACTATCCTATGACCCAGCAATTGCACTAGTAGGTATTCACCCACAGGATACAGAAATACAGATTTAAAGGGGCACATGCACCCCGATATTTATAACAGCATTATCAACAGCCAAACTATGGAATGAGTTCAAATGTCCATCGACTGATGAACGGAAAATGTAGCAGGTGCGCACGCACGTGTGTGCGCGCGCACACACACACACACACACACACACACACACACACACACACAAACTGGAATATTACTCAGCCATCAAAAAGAATGAAATCTGTCGGGGCGCCTGGGTGGCTCAGTCGGTTGAGTGTCTGACTTCGGCCCAGGTCATGATCTCACGGTCTGTGGGTTTGAGCCCCGCGTCGGGCTCTGTGCTGACGGCTCAGAGCCTGGAGCCTGCTTCTGATCCTGTGTCTCCCTCTCTCTCTGCCCCTCCCCCGCTCTCACTTTGTCTCACTCTCTCAAAAACAAATAAATGTAAAAAAAAATTTTTTCAAAAAGAATGAAATCCTGCCATTTCCAATGACATGGATAGAACTAGAGTGTATTATGCTAAGCAAAGTAAATCGTGGAATTTAGGAAACAAAACAGATGAACATAGGGGAAGGGAAGGAAAAAGAAAAGAAAAGAAAAACAGAGAGGGACAAGGTGCCTTGGTGGCTCAGCTGGTTAAGCATCCAGCCCTTGATTTCAGCTCAGGTCACGATCTCATGACTGGTGGGACAGGGTCCCACGTTGGGCTCCGCACTGACAGCATGGAGCCTGCTTCGGATTCTCTCTCTCCCTCTCTCTGCCCTTCCCCTGCTCACTTTCTCTCTCTCAAAATAAGTAAGTAAACTTAAAAGAAAAGAGAGAGAGGCAAACCATAAGAGGCTCTTAACCATAGAGAACAAACTGAGGGCTGCTGGAGGGAAGAGGGTTGGGGGATGAGCTAGATGGGTGATGGGCGTTAAGGAGGCCACTTGCTGTGATGAGCAGAATCACTAAATTCTACTCCTGAGACCAATACTACACTAGATGTTAACTAACTTGAGTTTCATTTTTTTTTCAAGTAGACTTCACACCCAGCGCAGAGCCCAATGTGGGGCTTGAACTCATGACTGTGAGATCAAGACCTGAGGTGAGATCCAGTCGGACACTTAACCGACTGGGCCATCCAGGTGCCTCTGACTTGAATTTAAATAAAATCTTGGAAAGAAAAAACAAAACAAACACAAAACAAAACAAACCCAAATTCGTTTAAGATCATGAATCGATACTGTTCCTTCTCTGAGAAACTGCTTGTATTTTTACCATCTGACACGGAAAACTCCAGTTCATTCTAACTCATGCTGACATGGTCTAATACAGATATTCTAAGGGTGATCCATGGACCAGGATAAGTCCACAAACTGTCCGGTCCCAGAATGATACATCAGAAACAGAGTAAGCGCTTGGGAAACAACTAGAATAGTTTTAAGTCTGTTGAATCAAATAATTAAAAAATTGGGGCTTATAGTTTGTAGGCTTTGGACACCTCTTTAGGTTTTCTTTTGCCTGATAAGAGGAATGCAGTATGAAGGAAAGAAATGTGCCTTGGGGTCAGAAATCCCGGCTCCACACTTGATGTGACTCGTCATTTGTAAAACGGAGCATACATGGAAGTCCTGTGGTGGGCAGACTAACAGCTCCTCAAAGATGTAAACACCCAAATCCTCAGAACCTATGAATATGTCAGCTTGCACAGCAAAGGAGACATTAGGTTGCTAATCAGCTGACGCTGAGAGAAGGGTGAGTGTCCGAGATGGTCTGTGTCAGCCCAGTATAATCACAGGGTCCTTAAAAACAGAAGAACCAGACAAGGAGATGCGACGACAGAAGCAGTGTCAGAGGGATGTGATGTGAGTCTCCCGGCTTCGAAGGGGGAAGGGACCACCAGCCAAGGAATGCGGGTGCCTCTAGAAGACAGAAAGACAAGGAAACATTCTCCCGTAGAGACTCCAGAAAGAGATACAACCTTCTAACAGCTTGATTTGTGCCCGGCGAGATCTGCGTCCGACTTCTGGCCTACAGAACCGTGAAATCACCAATGTGTGCTGGGGGCGCCTGGGTGGCTCAGCTGGTTAAGTGTCCGACTCTTGGCGCCCACAACCCTGGGATCATGTCCTGAGCCAAATCAAGAGTCGGACGCTCAACTGACCGAGCCACCCAGGGGCCCGCCTTCTAAGAATCTTAACAATAAAGAGGGTCGGTTGGTTGGTTTACAGGCTAAAAAGAGGGGATGGCAAAGAATGTGGCCCACGATTTTCTGAGAGGGAAAAGTCACAGCCGTCTTCAGTCTTAGTTCAACGGAGCGCTCACTTCTCTATGGCCAACATGCAGGTCCCAAGCAGAGCGCGGTCTGCAATCTTCAACGCCCAGCGGGCCTCCCCGCGGCTCCCTGGATCTCATCCAGCCCAGCCCGCGGCTCCGCACCTGACAAAAGCGATCGTTTCCTCTCCAGAGAAAAGAAATGATGCCGAGATCATTTGGGCCTATACTTTCTCTTTTTGCCTCCTTGCTGCTGTGCAGAAGAAACTGAATCTCACCTTCTCCTGCTTCAGCCCGCTGGCCGGCGACTTACCAAAGGGCCGGGAGCAGGGGTGAGCCAGTTAAAGAACAGCCCTTTCCGGTTATCCGCACGGAGTCCACAGACACCAAGTTCAAGAACTCCAGCACGGCAGCCGCTGTCTACAAGTCCAGTAAGCTGGGCGCCGCCTACGACCGAGCTCATGGCTCCTACGCGTACCGCCTGACTCTACCGACACGCCCAATGAAACGTACTCACTGGACCTTCTAGTGTTTCAGTTAAAATGAGATTTTTTTCCCTCCCCGATATAATGCGTCTTTGCATGGCTACCACAATACTTTCTCATTTAAAATAGGCTACTTGGTATTGTTAGCAATACGTTTACGTCAGCCTTAAATATTACGAGGACCTTGGTCATCTTCTGGGAGAAAGAGTAAAACTCACACGCTTCATTCTAAGGGTCCCTACCCAATCTGACAATCTTACCTTGTCACAGAAGACTTTTATCTGGCAGTACGCCCGGTGCACAGGCTTGTTGCTACGGTTGTTATAACTGTAGGTGTCAATTTGGATGTTAAGAGGCAACCCCTTCACGCCTTTCTGAGAAGAGAAATCTGTGCTTAAGCAGTTGACAGAGATGAAAACCTGCAGAGGGAAAACAACGGCATTGTAAGTAACGGGCACCAACAGTCAACCTTAGCAGAGCTTGTAAAAATACTAACATCACTGAAATCACTTAAATATGTTCTAAATGAGAGCTCAGCTGCTCACTTAAAAGAAACTTTTTAAAATAAAGGGTTTATTTCAAAGCTACTTTTGGTCAGAGGAATGGCAGACCTTAAGGGAAAAAAACAGACAGCAGCTTTGAACCCCTGTCAATTTTCCCTTCCAGGATATTTGCTTAGCATCATACTGTGGAAGAGGCTGGACGTCTTTCTCGATGTCATTTTAAAATATGACCGATAGCCCACGTTCTCTAGGCAGCTGGTCTGGAGCTCAGTACCAACTGAGAACCTGCCCGTGTCATGTCTACACCACCTCTGATGGCCTGTAGTTCCCTATGCATGTCCTAATATTTGGGAACTTATGAGATCAGTGAATCACACTATTAAAGCGGCACTGGAGGTTGTTGCTTAGGAGAGACTCAAGTGAATCTTGGGACTCCGAAAGAACATGCTCCATTTCCCTCTTTTTGTGTGTGATACGGGTTTTAACCTCTCATACGCGGTCACGATGCATTCGAGCTCTCTTTCAACCATCCAGTTTTAGAATTTGTATCTGGTGCGTGAGCACCACACAGTGGATACTACTGGAATTACAGTTTTAAAAATCAGCGCCTTTCAAAGACCCGAGACCCTTAGGCTGGACTCCTTCCAGTCCAGGGGCCAACAACTCCCAGCCCTAACACCACGAACAGATCTACCACAACAGCGCAGGGTGCCACTGGCTGAACCGAGGCCCGGACAGGGAGAAGTTTAA